AAAAAAACCCCTAAACCAATCATCAATTAGCAACTTTAAATGACAGTAAATTTCAATAAATTATGACCTATAACTGACACAGAAATCTATATAAGATGCTATGTTTAGGAACACATGGGAAAGAAATGAGGATTTTAACATTGAACTTTGTTTTACAAACTTTCATTTATTGTACACAGAAAATCAATATGGTTAACTAGTAAGTAGTAACTATCTGAAAGCTAACTGTTAAGCTACTATCTCTTAACTCCATCTCTATTCCCTGCGACGTTGAACCCAAACCCCTCTAAACCGGGGTCTTTCTGTGGTTTTAATGGCTTCCTGTTAAGCTCTGTCAGTGGGTGATGCTAGTGAAAAGAATGAAAGCTGCAGGAATTGGGGGCTCTTTTGAGGTGGGAGGAGGTTGGGAATTTGTTTACAGAAGCATAAGGTACAACACTGAAGAAAATGTCTCTCCCTCCCACAACCATTAACTGTGTAAAATCCTTACGAAAGTGGTATGTCACGAACCCTCCCTCCCTCTCTATGACAGTGTTGAGAAACCCAATCTGTGCATGCAACCACCATGTGATGCCGAGAATGTACACTCAAGTCCGTAACATCTCTCCTCTCCTGTTTCTTCCAGCACTTCATTCTTTCCTCCCCTTCTTCCACAGTGCTCTATAAATATGGGAAGGGGAGACATAGTGTCCCATTTGTGGCTGGGTACTCAGAATCTTAGTACTTTGACCAGGACTAGTTTGAGTTTCTGAAATCCCCACTGACCACTGACTGAAGCCTCCTACTCATGACAAGCAGGTAGGCTTCAGGTGACTGCAACCTACACACTGGTACCCACAGCTCTGGGGAGAGTAGCTGCTTCATGTAACTGTGACCTCCAGACTTAAGCACTCTCTTTTCACAGCCTTTTTTGTTTTTAAATGTATTTATTGTATGTGTGTGGGTGTTTTGTCTGCGTGTATGCCTATGCATGTGTGTGCCTATTAAAGGGCGTCAGATCCCATCCCCAGAACTGGAGTTTAAGGAAGCTGTGAGTCACTCAACGTGGGTGCTATGAATCAAATTCAGGTCCTCTGCAATGGCAATATGCATTCTTTTTTATTTTTTTTTAAGATTTAGTTATTTATTATTTATACAGTGTTCTGTTTGTATGTATGTCTGCACACCAGAAGAAGGCACCAGATCTCATTATAGATGGTTGTGAGCCACCAAGTGGTTGCTGGGAATTGAACTCGGGACTTCTAGAAGAGCAGCGAGTGCTCTTAACCTCTGAGCCATCTCTCCAGCCCCCCCCCCTTTTATGGGGGGTTTTTCAAGACAGGGTTTCTCTGTAGCTTTGCCTTTCCTGGAACTCACGCTGTAGCCAAGGCTGGCCTCGAACTCAAAGATATCTGCTTGCCTCTGCCTCCTGAGTGCTGGGATTAAAGGTGTGCACCACCACCCTCCCGGTTGCAATATGCATTCTTAACCACTGAGCCATCTCTACAGCCCTATTTTCATATTTTTTTAAGATTTATTTTTCTTTTATGTGCATTGGTGTTTTGCCTGCATGTATGTCTGTGAAGGTGCAAGATCCCCTGGAGCTGTAGTTACAGACATTTATGTGGGTGCTGGGGATTGTGGAAGAGCAGCCAGTGTTCTTAACTGCTGAGCCATCTCTCGGCTCTATTTTCATATTCTTAATTCATCAAATCCACTAAGAATGTCTAATCTGAAAATTCAAAATCTAAAGTGTTGCAAGAGTTGAAACATTTTGAGCATTGTGATGACTAATCTTCACAGTCAGTTTAACTGTATTTAGAATCCAGTCAGGAACCTCTGGGTATGTCTACAAGAGTGTTTCCAGACAGATTTAAAGAAGAGGTGCTGCAAGCCCAGGAAAATGTAATGGAATCCAGCTACTACCACAGAAGCTACCACTTTTCTGAAGGTCAAGCCATGGCTTAAGAAGTCTTGGTGACATTTTAGCTTTTATACATTTATACATTTTATATATATTAGCTGGTTCCTACAATGATTTTCTTGTATGCCATGCGTGCTTCCAAGAACTAGTAACAGTGTATTTATCTAAAATATCTATCAAGCATCCGAGGCCAAATGACCTCTGAACTAAAGGAACACACTTATGGAAACAATGCCTGTCTCCGAGGCGTTGTTTCTTGTGCACCTGAAGCTGAGACCCTCCTTTCTTATACAGCCTTACTAACAGATTGCTATTGCTTGGGTTTATAACTGGATTCCTGAGA